CTGAAACACCCTCATTGATTGAAAGACTGAATTACACAGAGAATGAGATCGAAATATACATACGAATCACAATAGCCAATAAAGAAACGAAACCCAGATTATCAAAATCGAATCTTGACAAGACCAGATGAAGAAAACTCGAAAACTCACCGACGAAGAAGAGGTCACTGACTGGTAACGAGAGATCCGAGAATGACAAGTTGAGTGAAGTTGTTTCTTTTTCGATTTATATTAAAGAGTGACGAATTTTTGCAGATAAATGAATTAAAAAAAAAAACGAAAAACGGAAACTTTATATATTCAGATCTCAGGAATGATACCTTTTTCACTGGCCTCAATGTTTTATTTTTTTCCTATATTTGGGAGATAAGTACAGTGTTTTCGTTGTAAAGGTCTCTCTCAATGTTCACACTGTCGACTTGCTGTAAATCCACTTTATTTGATTTATTTGTTATAAATATTTGGGTTGGTCAATTTATATTGTTACAAACAAAAAAAACGACTTTGATAGTATTTTATAGGATTTTCACGATCTCTGCAAGTAGATTTCGATATAATGCGTTTTCAATTTCGTGATTAGTAAGTAACAACAACCCCACATGAAATTAATTCTTCTTTTTGATGTGAATCAGTTTTTTTGCTTTGTATGGAGAAAAATAGTGACAGGGAAAAATTCAGTTGCCTAATGGAGAAGTCTCTGTCACTGTCCATTAACACGGAATACAAAGCCGTGAACGCGTTTTTATTTGTTATTCATTGTGTCGGTGATTACTGACTCCAACATGAAGATCGGTGATTTATTCGGTAACCATCCACAACTTGTGTTATTTAATTAGCTTTAATTACTTATTTAATATCGTTAGTCACACTCGTGAAATCAAAAGTTGTATACAGATCTAGATCCCCACCCATAATAAAAACAATCATAAAATATTACAGGTTTGGGAAAATAACGTTCACGTAAAGTCACAAGCTCATAAAAGAAACCTTTGTTTTTCAAAAGAAAGAAGGGTCTTTGTACCTTTTGAAGACAGCTTCAATATCAGCCATAACTTCCGGCGAAAATGGCCGCTCCGTCATCAGAAAAGCATCAATATCTTCTTTGAGTTGCTCCATCGATGTAGCTCCGATGATCGTGCTCGTCACAAACGGCCGGTCACGTACAAACCCGAGTGCTAACTCTACCGGACTTAAACCGTGCTTCTTCCCCACCTCAATGTATTGTATTGTTGCTTCCTAAGATTCACAGAAAACAGACATTTGACCTCAAAAAACCGAAACCGCAACAAAATCCGGATCGAACACTCCTAGATGAAATCTAGTGACTTAACCAGTGATTGTATTTACTTTGCCGCTACATTTTTCTGTATGGTCGTGATTACTCTGAGCTTGAAACCCCGATAACAAAAGAAATCCTAACTTTACGACATGTAAAGAATTAAGCATACTTGGATCAAGAAGAAACCTTGGCTAGGGATCCCCTGTAACGTTCCATGAATCCTGGGAAAAGATTCAGCCTTGAATTTTTTGTAGCTTCTAGGTCCGAAGCCAAATATTTACCAGACAAGGAGCCGCCTCCGAGAGGAGAATAAGCAAGCAAGCCAACATTGCAGTTTTTCGGGTGGCATACTTCTACTAGATCAACTGTGATTTTAACCGAAAAAGCAGAATTTAGGACATGGTCATAAGGTTATGAGACCAAATGTCTTTCACAGCTTTATGTGTTTCTAGAAAGGCTACCTTCAAACCGGGATCGAGCTAGCAAGCTGTAACCGTTCTGGATGCTCACAATCTTTGGTAGTCCTTCAAGTTTTGCAGTGTGAACAAACTCCATCACTCCATATGAAGTTTCATTTGAGACACCAATGTAGCGTACCTGTTACAGAGTTTAACTGAAAGTTTAAATTCTGTTTTTGAGATATCCAGTAAAGGAGCTTGAAGTTTTATTTAATATCTGCAGTGTTACTGAGAAGAAAATTTAACTCAAATATATCTGATGGTTAAGGAGTTGCACTACCTTTCCTTCATCTATGAGATCCTGGAAGGCTCTTAGCTGCTCGACAAATGGCACACTAGTTCTCCATTTCGACGGATCATAGTAACTATCACCAAAGAGTGGTACATACCGATCTGGCCTGGACTGAAAAAGCATCAGTATCATGATTTTGTGACATTCGACGATGAATACAGAAATAGTTGGCATATAAAATGGGAAATAAATTGTTCAAGAGATGTAGCATATGAGTTAGGCTTGAGCATGAAAAAAGTGCTTTTACAGTGTTACCAATGTATTTGAAGCAAGTCAATGTAATCAGTGCCAAGGCGCTTAAGACTTTTCTCGACACTTTCTTTGATATTAGCAGCATCTACACGCAGAAATTTGGCATTGTCCCGCATGTATGCTGATCTTTCTGAGTACCCACTTACTTTAGTTGCCAAAACAATCTGTGCACACCAAAAAAAAAACATCAACAAAAGTTCTACAGCTTCAAGGATGTTTTGCTGATCTAATCTACATTATTTACCATCACATCGACAAAGACAGTGATGACTTCAAACATGAAGGAAATAAGTTTGCTTAACAAATGTAAGAACTTTAAAGAGTGAGAGACAGGATAGATTGGTTCCTTATCCATCAATGGAATCAACAAAACCAAAACAAGTAGCCAACTACAATATTCAACCGAAGCATCAAGGATGGTGATACCTTGTCACGGCGCTGAGACTTCAACCAGCTACTGATATAAAGATCCGTTTTACCTTGAGTCTCCTTCTTCATTGGGACGGGATACTGGAAAAAGACTCAATCAATAAAATGAGTTGAAAAATGACCAAGAACACATTCAAACACTTGCATTCATATTCACCAAGCGTAACGAAATAGATAAACAAATAAGAAGATAAAAACTCACGGCTTCAGCAGTGTCAATGCAGTTGATGCCATGTTCCAATGCATAACTCAGCATCTCATGAGATTCTTTCTCAGTATTTTGCTCCCCAAATGTCATCTGATATAGAAGAAGAAGAACAACAAAATATGATTACACGAGACTGATTTCGGTTCAAATTCTCACTTTCTATAGATTAAGCAACCCAAAAAATGAGTATTCGTACTTCAAATTCACCAATTCTTCGATTAAAACACATCCCGAATCAGCAACAAAATGAAAACGAATTACAGTTCCGCAAATCAGAAATCAGGAGACTAGTCTTACAGTGCCCATAGTAATTTCGCTGATATTGAGGTCAGAATCCCCTAATTTCCTGTACTCCATTGCATTCTTCGTCGTCTTCTTCTCCGTCGTCGTTTCCGCCATAACCGAAGCTCTGAACATTCTCCTCCCAGCATTCGGTGATGGAGTTACACGGTGGCGCGTGATTCCCAACCGCGAGAAGGCTCTACTATTGCCGATATTGTTAGCCGGAATCACCGTAGAGAAGGTGACGGAAGATGACGCCATGCCGGGAAATGTACTGGACGTGCTTCTAGCCTTATCGCCATATCTACTGTTTTAATAAATCACGGTTTGAAAACATGTGGGCTCAAATATTTGGGCCTAATTCATACTTAAAAGGCCCAATACTTGATATACAAGCCTCATATATTTATTGAATATCTTCTTTCCAAAAAAATTAGATAATTTAATTGGATAGTGTAATCTGAGATATTTTATTACTTCGAGATAATATGATTAAATTAGCTGACGTGGCATAACACATCTTCGATATCTTCCACACCACCAATAAATAAACCAAGAGTGAGCTTCACGGATACAATCTTTACG